CAGGCAATACTGAGGAAATGGAATATTCGGGTGGCTGTGTAGGGAAAAAACGAAACTCTTTACAAGTCTACCGACGCAGCATTAGAGAGTAGACAAATTGAATTTTTCTGGAGTTTACTGCATAGCGTGCGGTGTCTACGAACAGAAATATATTGACCAAACTGGGATAAAAATTAGAATACGAATCAAGGAACATCAAAGGATATGCAGGAAAATGGATACCGAAAGATCTGAAATAGCGGAACACTGCAAAAACTGGATACGAGATCAATTGGAAGGTAACTGAAAGAAAGGCATCATACAAGGAAAACACAAAGAACGATAATATTAGAGAGGCCTTTGACATACTTGGGAAATAAATCTAATGAACAGGACATCAGAGGAGAACAGAGTTGGCGATATCTTTGCATAATGCTTAAACAAACTCGGGGAAAACAAGTATACAGAAAGGAGACGCCTGGATCAAGGATCTATCACAAACCAGAGGAAAAGGGATCTCGATTAGAAAAAGGAGGGGCGGGGATTTTCGGGAATTAAATGAAGACGTTGTCGGGGAGTGATGACTCTTCGAATACACTAGTACACTGGGACCGGAACCGAGTAAAATCGTTGAACCATAAGATAAGAAACGGATCTTCAGGACCATGAGGAAGATCCGGATTGGAGGCCCAAGTCAAGTTAGCCGATCAAAAAGTGAGAAATTGTGATAAGGCGTGAGTGGGATAAGAGGGTAAGGAGTAGATAGATGGGCCATGACAGAAAGTGGAATGATAGTGTAACCGTTTCGATGCCGGCGAAACGTCTTGGAATGTACCAAGTCCATGGTCTGATGCTCGAAATCACGAATACTATGGCAGAAGAATACTTTTTGGCAAAAAGTAAAGTTGAGCACTTTCGCTGCCTGAACAGTTTAATAGCACAAAATGGGAATAATATGCTTACAGTGTTCTTAAGTGGACGGACATCATGCGGATCAGGTGATTGGATAGTGGTTTCAGTCGGCCATGACCTGCCAAGCCGTAAGGCAGGCGAAATATGCCGTTGCTGAGGAGACCGGGCCAAAGACAACTTGCTGGAGAAGCAACAGCGGCAGTCGTCGAAGCGCCACAGGGGATAGATGGGTTTGTGACGGAACACGTGCGAAACCAGAATAGGTCAACAAGGCGTTGGATCGTCTGACTAACCTCGTTATCTGTGCTGTCTGAATGTGAAAACATGAGTAGTGAACTATGGTAGCAACTATGGAGGAAGCTAAGATGTAGGTTTTAGATAAAAGAATACGAAAAAACAGACTTTTAAAAGGACATAGCAGTTATATACTGACTTTCTTTATCTTCGTGGCAATTATCGTTTCCTCGAATCAATTTCATCTAGAAAGTGAACATTGTATTGGATTTTAAAGTCATGTTTTTTCGCTGAAAACACTCAGTATCAGACTTAGGCAACGTTTTTAAAATTTAAAGACCTGTGAAATCAGATTGAAAATGCTACCCATAAAATAGAAATTACCTAAAGAATCTGGAAGCCATATAAATAACGAAATTGATGAAAATTCTATAAAGACTCGAAAATATCAACGACTTAAAAACACGCATAGTTTTAAAATAATTCATTAGATAGGAGAGAACACACTAACTTGTAATGTGACTGGAAACTAGATTAAAAACTACGCTCTCGGCCCAGGTGTGACACCATCAAAAAAGCATTTATATGAGATAATAACACGAAGTGAATGTTTGTTGATAAATGTGCGTCTAAAAATAATCTAAAACTAGACAGATTACTAATATCTTTCAAATTATTACTTAGGGCAAACTATCATAGAAATAATTCAAATAAATTGACAATCTATTTTTACTAAGTGTGGATAGTGTGGCCCCTATTTTGGCCACAGTCTCTAGTGGCAGTGTGTACATCAAGGTCGCCCTGACATGACCAAGTCGCGAAAACAAAGTCAAACCACTTCTATTTATTAATTTTAAATATTATATGAGCATAAGAGTAAAAAACGAAAAG